AGTGGGGGAGGGGGCCTTCTGCGATTGTTTTGGGAGAGGGATACGGCAGTGTTTTGTGCAGGATAGGAACAGCGGTGTCCCCCTTAGAACAGTCATAACACCCGCCTTCCAAGAACAGCTGCGTAATCCACATCTCGGAACGGCCACGGGGTCCACTTTCCGGAACAGTAGTTGGGTTGGCGATTTCGCGGCTGTTCTGGGGTGGATACTCGTTGGCGGATCCGGGGGAGGGACGAGGGGTCTTTCACCTTTAACTCAAGAACCAGAAAAGCTAGAAGGCTGAAACTTTGGGAGTATGTACCCATACCATGAGCGACCCTCCCGTTTTAATTTCATCCCCCTTGGACGCCTAAGTGCCGCGTACGGAAGCTTTAAAAAAATATGCAAATTTTTTGGCGGGAAAGCGATCTCGGGAACCACACGAGCTAGGGGGCTGCGGATATTCCATGTGCATGTACTAGCTAGAGATTTCAGATTCAGCTCCCAGGTATGCGTGGTACTCACGTAGGGGCGTATGGGAGTTTCAGGGGGGAAATTGCTAACTCGGGTACCAGCAAGGCTGGAAAGCTGAAATTTTGGAGGAATGTTTCCAATCCAAGTACTCAAATATTTCAAAATCAGCCCCAAGCTATGCATTGTACTTCAAAATCAGCCCCAAGTAAGGGTATATGAAAGTTTCTGCAGGAAAATTACTAACTCGGCAATCAGAAGAACTGGAAGGCTGAAATTTTAGGCGAATGTTTCCTGCCCACGTGCAATTTAAAAGTTTCAAATTCAGCTTTCCAAGCACGTGGAGTACTCAAGTACGGGCATGTGAAGGTTTTAGCGGGAAAACTGCTAACTCGGTAACCAGAAAAGCTGGAAAGCTGAAATTTTGAGGGCGTGTTCTCTGTCCGAGTACAACTTAAGTATTTCAAATTCAGCCTTGAGATATGCGTGGTTCTTACGTACGGGCACTTAAAGTCTTGGAAAAAATTTCTCACCTAACAACTAGATTACTTTTAAAGAACGACTGTTAAATGGAAATTGTACATTTACTTTGCAAAATTTATGGTGATTTATGCTAATGACCGCAACAGGTAGGTGTAAAGCAATAGCCATTCGTACAGTTAATGACCTGAGTAATTCAAGTCCGGTGCGAAAACGCATGATCGCACGGGCCCGCCCGGTGCGTTCCAGCCTCGGTTTGTATGAAGTTTGGTCGTTTTTTTCGGTAAATGCCCGCTTTGTCAAAAAATGACAAATGAAAATTTTTTGAAAAAATGCAAATTTCTAGTTCACTAAAAAGTGGAAGTTTTGCTCGAGCGATCGTTTGGCAAAAAATCCATGCATGCAATTTAACTAATGTTTATTTACAAATACGATTACGGTTCGGGTCCGGGTTGCTAACGATTTTTGGGTTGAGGAGATGCTTGAGGCTGTGGGGTGCTCGACAGCTGAGTTTAAAATCTTTAGCTCGCACCTGCATAGAGAATATCCCTGCAAAGTTTCAGCTTTCTACCTTACTTGGTTCGCAAAATCGTTTCCCGCCGGCATATTTGTTTGGGAAGCCCGTACACAGTGTCTAGGCGCTTGTGGGGAAAGGTCTTAAAACGTGAAGATGACACACAGGGTAGGAAGGTATACCCGAAGTTTCAGTCTCCCAGCTTTCCCGATTGCTGAGATGAAAATGGGTGACAAAATGCACTCGCTTCCGAACACACACACACAGACAACCTCTCGACCATATACGTTTTTGCGGGCTGTAGCAGCGCTATAGCGCTGCAGAGCAAAAACGCATAAAAATGGGTGCAGGTGAGAGAAGGGGAGAATCCTCTTTTACAATAAATGGATCTAGGCATTTTGGCTTTTTTAAAGGAATAGTAAAATTTTAAAATTGCTTTCATCGGTTTTCATCTCAAGCTGCCGAACAGACGTTATCATTCATACAAACCCAGGCTGGGACATACCAGGAGAGCCGGTGCGATCACACGTTTTTGCACCAAACTTGAAGTAGTCAGGTTAACTGACTGAACGGTTGTTTCTTCACACCTACCTTCTGCGCTCAATACCGTAAGTCGTCGAAAATTTTGCATAAAAGGAAATAAACAATTCCCGTTTAACGGTCTTTTTATTTGAAAATCATTGGCGACACGCACTAGGCGGGCCCGTACTATCATGCGTTTTTGCAATATTTCGTGTTGTAATGAGATCGCTTGGAAATCAAGTAGCTAGAAGTGTGTGATATATTGGTCCTCGAAGTCTGGGAAGTTAATTGTCTACGCGGTACTTGGACAGGAAACATTTCGTTGAAATTTCAGTTTTCCAAATTTTTTTCTTGAATTAGCAAGTTACCTGCCAAAAATATTCACAAGGCCGTACATGACAACCCTGTACGCGCAGGAAGCTGAGTTTGGTAAATTTAAGCCGTACATAGGTTGGGAAGATTTCCTAAAAATTTCAGCCTCCGGGCTTTTCTTGTTCCCAAGTTAGTCATTTCCGCGCCAAAAAATTTCACGGGGCCGTATGTGAGAACCATTTGCACTGAGGGGCTGAATTCGATGACTTTAAGTTGTACTTTTGCTGGGGACATTATCTGAAAATTTTAGCCTCCCAGCTTTCTTAGTTCCTGAGTTAGTCATTTTCACGCCAAAAAAAATTCTAGGGGCCGTACATGATAACCACGGATGACTGGAGGCTGATTTTGTTAAATTTAAGTTGTACACGTGCTGGGGACATTTCCTGAAAATTTCAGCCTTCCAGCTTCCATGGTTCCTGAGTTAGCTACTTTCCCAACAAAAATTTTCATGGGGCCGTACGTGAGTACCACACACGATTAGGGACTGAGTTTGGTAATTTTCAGTTTTACGTGTGCCGAGAACATTCACTGAAAATTTCAGCTCCCCAGCTTTCCTTGTTCCCGAGTTAGCGGTTTTCGCGCTCCCCAGCTTTCCTTGTTCCCGAGTTAGCGGTTTTCGCGCCAGGAACTCTCACAGAGCTATACGCAGGAGCCACGCACGCCTGGGGGCTGAATTTGAAATCTTTGAGTCCTATGGAGACGGGGGACATAACATCAAAATTTCATCTTTCTAGCTTTTCTGGATCTCGAGTCAGCGATTTTCCCACCAAAATTCCCACCCCCTCGTGTGCGGGGCCGAGACTTGCGTGAGGGTTGGTACCGCGGTCCTGGGATGGCACTTGGCCGGAAAACCTACCAGTAGGATTTTGGCACCGGAACTTACATGGGTACCGAGTTGAAATATCCGAACAGACGCACACACACACACGCACACACACACACACACACACCCACACACACCGGGGTCGTCATAATATGCGTTTTTGCATTTCCATAGAAGCAAAAACGCATAACGACTAAGCTGTCCAATGAGTAATTTCCCCGTCAAAAATTTAGGTGCCTATACACGAGAGCCACGCATGCCTGGGGCTGAATTTGATAGCTGTAAGTCATAGATGGGCTGAGAACATCCCCTGAAAATTTCAGCCTCCCGGCTTTGCTAGTTCCCGAGTTAGCCATTTTCCTACCAAAAAATTTCACGGGGCTATACGCGAGAACCACGCACACCCAGTGGCCGAATTTGAAATTTTTGAGTCCCGTGTGGACGGAAAATAGCCTCAAAATTTCAGCTCTCTATCTTTTCTCGTTCCCGAGTTATCAATTTTCCCGTCAAAACTTTCATCCCCTCGTACGCGCGGCCCAGACTTACGTGAGGGTTGGTACCGCGGTCCAGGGGTGACACTTGGCCGGGGAACCTATTAGCAAAATCTTGGCGCTGGGACTTGCTTGGCTGCCGAGTTGAAATACCCGGACAGACGAACACACACACACACACAAACATACACA